GGGGGGGGGGCGAGGGGCCGGACTCCCCCCTGGGCCTGCAGTAGCGTCCCTGAGGGATCTCAGTCGGGGGCAGGGGGGCGGCCAGGACCCCCCCCAGCCCCGAGGGTCCTCGTGCCGGGGAGGGGAGGGCCGGGCTCTTCCTGAGACTGGAGGTAGGGAAAGGGGTGCCGGGCCCCCCCAGCCCTCCCCAGTTTGGTCCCTGGAGCCAGGTGGGGAGGGGGCGGCGCCCGCCCCGGCTGCGGGGTCCGAGGGCAGCAGGGGGGGCTGCACCGGGGGCCCCCCCTCCCCGTAAAGTGTCTGAGCGGGCAGGGGGTCCCGGCCAGGATGGGGGGCGAGGGGGGGGGCTAAGTCCACTTTACTGGCCGTTAATGCATGAGACGCTGCACAGGAGTGCTCGGACATTCACTAAACTATTGCTATCATTAAATATTCTGGGGGGGGTGGGGTCTCTCCCTCCTCTGGGGAGGGGGTGGGGGGGGGGGCTGCTTCTGTTCTTAATTAGAAAATTAAATTTAAAAGAAAGAAAGAAAAAAACACCTCTTTTTTTTTTCTTTTTGGCTTACACAGTCTGTGAGTTTGTGGTGCTGGGGGTTGGGGGGGGGTCTGGGCAGGATGGGGGGTCGGGGGGGCAGACCGGGCAGCGGGAAGGGGCCACGGGGCTGGGGGGGCCCGTTCACGCTGCCGGGGGTGAGGGGGGATGAGACCCCCCGTGTGGGATCAGCAGGCAGCGAGAGCAGCTCCAGAGGAGGCAGTTCGTGGGGTGACGGGGACCCCAGCCCCAAGGGGGCACAGGGGGGGCGCTGGCCCCCCGCTCACGGGTTCGGAGCGTGTTTTCCCTGATAAAATTCCTCCCACCGGCTCTGGAAGAACCGGCGCATGGCGTGGCCGGCGCGGCCCACGGCGGAGTCGTCCTCGTTGAAGGTCTGGCAGTTGTCAAACACCAACAGGGCATCGGCCGCGAACTCCGCCGAGCTCGAGTACCTGCGGGACGGGGACAGGGTGGGTGGGGGGCAGCCGGGGATCCCCACGGCCCCCACGGGACCCCCATCCCTGGGAGGGACCCCGTCAGCCACAAAGGAGCCCCATCCCCAGGAGGGAACTCTATCTCCTGGAGAGACCCCACCGGCCCCCTGAGGGAACCCCCATCTCTGGCAGAGACCCTGCCAACCCCAAAGGGAGCCCCGTGCCCAGGAGGGGTCCCTGCCCTCCCCGCTCACCCGCCCCGCAGCAGCCGCGTGCGCATGGTGGCAAAGTCCATGGGGTTCTTGATGATCTTGCGGTAGCCGGGGACCAGGCGGGGGTTCACGGGCTCCAGGAAGGGCCACGCGTCCTCGTGCGACTCCATCTCCATCAGGATGATCCTGGGGGAGCAGCAGGGTCAGGGGGAGCCTCCAGGGATGTGGCCCAAGCCCCCTCCCCACAGCCCCCAGGCCCCACTCACTCGCAGAAGGTCAGGTCGCTGGGCTGGCCCCGCAGGGTCACGCCCCTCCGTTTGGTGGGGGTCAGCCCCTCTCCCGGGTACCGGGGCACGGGCAGCCCCTCTCGGCGGCGCAAGGCCGGGCGGCGCCGTGGGTTCTCCTCCTCCTCCTCTGGGGTCCCCCCGAGACGCCCCCGTTTCCGCTTCTTGCCCCGCCGGGGCGAGACGGGATCCCGGTACTGCCCTGCCTGCGGGGAGGGCATGGGGGTCACACCGAGCCTGGGGTCACCACCAGCCTGGGCGGGGCGGGGTCTGCCCGGGAACCTACCCGGGACACGCAGACGGAGCAGAACCAGTCGCCCTCGGGCACCTCGGTCATCCTGGGCCGGTGGCAGTAGAGGTGGCAGCCGCGGTCGCAGCCGTCGCACAGCAGCAGGTGCTCGTCGTCGTCCCCGCGTCGGCACACGAGGCAGGTCTGTGGGGAGAGGGGGGGCTCAGTGGGGCTGGGGAGGGGGCTCTGACCCTCCCTCCTCGCCCCCCGGCGCAGGGTCTCACCACTCTGTTCACAGATTTCTCCCAGGCGATGGATTTCTCCAGCTGGAAGATGCAGAGGGACACCTGGGCCGCGCTCCGGCACCGCTCCAGCGTCTGCCGCCACGTCCGCACCCGCGGCGTGATCTCGTAGGCTCTGGGGGAGCACGGAGGGGGTTCAGCCAGAGCTGGGGGTCCTGCTCCGCCCGAGCCTCCCAACCCTTGCTGGTCACTCACATCTCCGTGGGGCCCAGGCTCAGCTCCTCGGGGCTGCTCAGCACCGCCTTCTCCACCACCACCTCGTGCAGCGGCCACAGCGGCTCCTTCAGGTACCGGCGCTCCAGGTTCTGCTCCAGCGCCAGGAGCCGGAGCACGGCCAGATCCAGAGGGTTGGTGCGTTCCCGGCGCAGCGGGAGCCCGTCCCGCCGGGAACGCACCGTGATGTCTTCCAGCGGCTCCACCTTGTGCTCGCAGTACCGGAGGTCGTCCCGCGTGGAGTCGGGGCTGGGGCACGTCCAGCCCTGCGGGAGGAGGGGGGGTTAAAGGGGGTTCAGTGGGGGGGAGGTCACCGCGGCACCACCACGACCACCATCCTCGGCACCCACCCGGATCTGCAGGTCAGCCATCAGCACGCGCTGCTCCAGCTCCTCCACCCACTGCAGGACGCCGAGGTCGGTCTCGTAGGCCCTGTCCGTCACCGACCACCGGGCCAGGACTTCCTGAGACACAGCGGTTCCGGCCGCCTCGGGGTGCGGGTGGAAGATGGGGTCTGGGAGGGTGAAGGGTGGGCTCAGGGGATAGACAGCTAGCAGCCCCCAGACCTGGGGGTGCGGGTGGATGGAGGGTGGGCTCAGGGAAGGGGACAGGCAGGCCCCACCCCGGGAGCGCAGGCAGCCCTTACCAGTGGTGGCCCGCAGGCAAACCTCCCGCAGGAACTCCTTGTGCTTGGTCAGGTGCTTGTGCAGGGCCTTCTCCCGGATGCCACGTGGGTGCAGCGCCCTGGCCACAGCCTCCAGCTCCTCGGGGTCCCGCAGCCACCACCAGCCGCTCTGCATCTCTGCAAGGCAGCGCCAGGGCTCAGCACCGCGCCGGGGCACCGGCACCGCCCGCCCTGGGGGTCCCGGCTTCTCACCGGGGGGCACAGGCTGCTCCGTCAGCTGCGTCAAGTATTTCTGCTCAATCTGCTTGAAGAATTTGGTGGGGGGTCGCCCTCGGCGCTTGGGTTGTCCCGGCACATCCTGGAGCTTCTCCGGGTTGCCCCGGCTGCGGGGGCAGGCGCCGTGGGCCCTGGGCCCGGCGTGCACCGGCGTGGAAGCGAGCAGGGGAGCCGTGGGATCATCCATGGGGAGGCCATTCAGCTGGGTGAGATGGGGGGTGTCAGAAGAGCCAGACACACCCCCTGAACCTCGGCCCCAATCCTGCAGCCCCCCCCAGCCCTGGAGCTGTTGTCCTCACCAGCTTACAGCCCAGAGGGTTGGGGGCAGCAGGGCCGAGCTCCACGTGCCAACCCCAAGGGCCCTGTCCCCCACCCTGGGGGTGCCCAGTGCCCAGGCTGAGGGCCCCCCCACGCTCCCCACAGTCACCCAGGGAGAATCCCCCTCCGGACACAGCCCCCCAGGCCGGGGTGCAAGTGCTGGGCGCAGCCTCCCCGTGTGGTACCTGCTGGGGTGAGCCCATGGGGGGGTCCCCGCGGGTCTGGCTGCGGGGGGGCACAGCGGGGGCTCGTGGAGAGGGCTCGGTCGAGGAGGTAGCAAGGGGGGCTCGGTCGTCGCAGGGCGTCCGGGGCAGCAGGTTGAACCAGGGCCCCTGCTTTTCCGCAGCCTCCGGGGCACTCTCCTCCTCTTCCTCCTCCTGCTCCTCCTCCACGGGATCTGAGGGGGCCTCGAGCGGCGGGAGCGCCGTGTCCCCCTTGCCGGGGCTGCTGGCCGGGGTCAGGACGGAGTCCTTGAGCAGGGACGACTGGGTCTGGCTCAGCCAGGACAGGAAGGCAGACTGGCTGAGGTCATGCTGGCTCTGCCCCAGGGGCTCGGGCTCCTCCAGGACCCCGTTCACCGGGGTGGGGCGGGGTCCGCAGTGCGGTGCCAGCTCCTCTTTGCTCTTCCTGGGCCGGCCCCGGGCGCGGGCGGTCGGGCAGCTCGTCCGGCTGGGGACAGGCACGTCCGCCGGCTCCTCCTTCACCGGGGACACGTGAGGGGGCATCTTCTCCTCTGGGGGCTCCGGGAGTGCTGGCTCAGCCGCTGTGAGGGCAGGAGGAGGAGGAGAAGGTGAGATGGGGGGTCCTCTCCCGGCTGGGAGAACCCCCAAAAGCCCCTTCCCCGCTCACCCTCCGCGCCCTCCACGAAGATGCCGCCCAGGTGGGGCAGGACCCAGTAGCGCCGCCGGTACCGGTCCTGGCCCAGGGAAGCCGCTCGCAGCGTCTGGGAGGAGTGGAGCAGCTTCTTGCGGAAGAACATCTGCCTCTGTGGGGAGAGCGGGGGGCAGTGAGGGGGCTGCAGGCCCCCAGGCAGGGCTGAACCCCCAGCCCTGCACCACCCTGCTCACCTTGGCCAGCTTCTCGATCTGCCGCTCCAGCTCCGGGACACTGGACGCAGCCGTGTCGGCCTGGGCGAGGGACGGATCCGTCAGGGAAGCGCCACAAGGCGGGAAAGAGACCCCCAAGAGCAGCATCCCGACCTCTGCCCCCCAACCCCGAACCACCCCACCTCCTCCTCCCGGCGGGATCTCCGTCCCCGGCTCTCCTCCTCCTCCTCCATCTCCAGACCCGTGTCCTCGGTCAGGCGGGAGCTGCGCCGGCGCCGGCCGTCCTCCAGGCCCGTGATCTCCGACTCGGGACGGCCCGTCTTCTTGGCCAGGGCCACCTTCAACCTGCCGGGACACAGCAGAGCCCTTTGACTCCTGTCCCTCTGTCCACCCCCACTCCCCCAGAGGCACCTGCTCACACCCCGAGACCCCCCAGCGCCAGACAGGGGGTCACGGGAGGGTCTCGGTGTAGCTGGTGGCAGCCCCTCCCCACCCACCTGCGCAGCCGGCCCTCGATGATCCACTTGTTCTTCCTGTAGTTGGACATGTTCTCCAGGGTCTTGTCGATCTCACTGCAAGGACAGGGCGGGGTGAGCAGCTCCGGGGGGGGAGCAGAACCCGCTCCAGGGGGCAAGACGATGTTGGTGTCCCCCACCCAGGCTCACCTGATGATGAGGGCGCTGCTGTTGAGCTCGTTCACCAGGAAGACCAGGATGGCAGCTTTCCACTCCGGGGGCAGCGCCTGGAAGGGTTTGGTGCGCAGCCCCTCGCACAGCTCCGCGCCCGCCCCGTGCGCCGTCAGGAAGCAGCGCAGGATCTCGGACACCGTGTCACGGTTCAGGCTGATCTCCGACACCTTCTCCCCCAGGATCTTCAGGGACTGCGGAGAGCAGAGCGGGAGGGCTTGGGGAGTCACTTCCTGCCCCCACGGGGGATTTGCCAGGAGCGGGGGAAGGCAGGACCCCACGGTTGGGAAAATCAGGCTCTCCCTCCTGATAACGTCAGTCAGGGAGGGGGGAAGGGGGAGAAAGGGAACGGGGAAAGGGAAAAAAGAAAAAGGAGGGGCGGCAAAGGAAAGGAAACAGGGAAAGGGCAGGTAAGGGCCGTCTCACCTGGCAGTAGGGCGGCAGCCCGGGGTCGTAGATCGCCGCCTGCAGCAGCCGCACCAGCAGGTCCTGCAGCTGCCCGGCCCCGGCGCCCACCCCCAGCAGCCCCTCCTGCAGCGCGCCCAGTGAGGGCACGTCCCGGGAGGGGTCCAAGCCCAGCACTTTGCCGTAGCTCTGCAGGAACTCCACGACCGTCAGGCAGTCAGAGAAGGCGCGGCTGGGCAGGACGAGCCCCGGGATGCGGGAGAAGGCTGGAAGGGGCTGCAGGGACCAAAAGGAAAGGGGTCAGGGCCAGCCATCGGCTCACTGGTGTGACCCAACCGAGCCCCCCGGCACAGCCCACCTGGTGGTCCCCCAGGCACATGTCCTCCGTGGGCTTCTTCATCTCCTCCAGAATGAGCTGCTGCCGCTGCCGCTCCTCCAGGCGCCGCTGGGCCACCAGACCCTTGTCGGCCTTGCGAGCCCCCTTGCCCTTCTTCTCCTTGGGCCGAGCCTTGTCCTTGCCCTTCTCTGGCTTCCCCTTCTTCTCCTTGGCCTGGGGACAGATCCCAGATGTGTGGGGAGAAAAGGAAAGGGTGGAAAAATCCATCTTCATCTTCCAGCTCCTCCCTCTCCCTGGTCCCTTGTACCCATGGACCTACCTTAGGCTTCTTCTTGGTCTCCTTGGCCCTGGGAGCTTTGGCCTCCTGCTTCTGCTTGTTCTTGGCCTGAGGGGATGAGACCCACTTAGGGATCCAGAGACACCCCCACACACAAGGGAGACCCCCCCACCCCAGACCCGAGGAGCCCCAAAGCCCACCCCGACCCCCGCGCTCGCACCTTCCGCCTCATTTTCTTCTTGATTTTACTCATTTTCAGCTTGTCCTCATCGCTGAGCACCTCTGGAGGGCAAGAGAGAAAGGGGATAGATGGACCAGGCCCTGAGGTCCCACTGGGGCCAGGCTGTGAGGGGCTGTGCCAGCGGGGCCGGGCAGGGGGTACCTTGCGCTTCCAGCCTCTTCAGCAGCCGCGCGTCCGTCTTGCTCAGCAAATCCACCATCCTGACCTTGGGCGGGCGGCCCCGGCCCCGCTTGGTGATCGGGGGCTCCTTGGGCTTGGCCTTCTCGGCGTTGCGGGGTCGGCCGCGCTTGCCCGTGATGGCCTGGATGCGCCCGGGGATCTCCTCGGGGCTCAGCCTCACCCACTGCACGCCCTGCAGGGCCAAAGTCAGGGTCACCCCCAGCACAGCACGGGGCTGGGGGCTGCAGGGGGGCTCAGCCACCCCCAGACCCACCTCTGGCGTGTCCCGCTCCTCGTAGAAGTCTCCCACCGGCATGCGGGGGCTGAAGCTGAAGTGCTCGCGCCGCACGTCCTGCACCATGTTCCTGCTCAGGTACTGGGGGTGGGGAGGAGGAGGAGGAGGAAGGCTGTGAGCTCTCGGTGCTCTGGGCTCACAGCCACATCCATCAGCTCAGTCAGGGGCTCTGGGGGGGCTGTGGAGGACCAGGACCCCGGGGCAGCCCCCACCCTGCTCCCCCCCAGGGGACTGTACCTTGATCACCTCCGGGAACTGCTTCATCCTCTTCCCACAGGGCCCGTAGTACCAGGTCTCACCCTGCCAGCGGTGGTTCCCCTTCTTGATCCGAACCTCCCGCCTCCACCTGGGCACGGGGAGTGTCAGGCCAGGAATGCAGGGCAGCATGGGGGAGGGCACGGGGAGAGGGGAACAGCGTCAGGGACAGAATGGAAAGGGAATGGGGACAGGAGTAGGATGGAGAAGGGGCAGTGCCAGGGGCAGGTTGGTGGGAGGGGTAGGTGTACTGCAGGGGGAGTGTCAGGGGGAGCACAGCGGGAGGGGCAGGCACATGTCACATGTCACATGTCACCTGGCACCGGCACACGTACCCGTGCTGCAGCGGGAAGCGCACCTCCTCCTGCGTGGCGATGCGCCGGCGAGGGACATCCCCTGTGGAGAGGGGGCAGGACGCTGGGCTGGGCTGTGCCAGCGGACAGGGGACACCTGGGGGGCACTCAGGGGGGCTCCCGGCCGTACCTGCCGCCGAGGTGCCCAGTGGAGCCGCCTCCTCGCTCTCTCCTTCTGGGGCTGCTGAAGTCTCTGGGCAGCTGTCAGCGGTCTCTTCCTCCTCCTCCTCCTCCTGCTCTTCCTCCTCCTCCTCCTCTTCCTCCTCTGCAGATGGGGCTGGGGACTCCGGCTCCAGAGGGGGGTCGAGCTCCAGAGACCCCGACTCCCCCAGCCCCGCGTGGCTGCCGCTGTTGAGGTCGACGCTGCTGCCGTCTGTGGAGCCAAGGGCAGGGACGTCAGCGGAGCCTTTCCTGCTCTGCCCAGGACGCCAGGCTGTGCGGGGGGTGGGAGTGAATGGAGCTCTGCATCCCCTCCCCGCGCTGGCCAAGGGGACCCCCGTGGGGCTCACGCACCGGTACCGGCGCTGGCACGTCGTTCATGCCCCCCTGGCACACGTGGGGTGCCCGTGGGGGCGGTGGGGTGACACCATCAGTGTGGGGGTCCCCGCTCTGCCCATCCCGGGGTCTCACGTACCGTGCAGGGCGGGCGAGCCGGGGCCGTCGAGCAGCGGGGCGGGCGGGGGGCTGGCGGGCAGCAGGTTGAAGGGGCTGGCACGGAGGGGGGAGCTGGCGGTCAGGTCGGGGGGCTCCTCCAGGGACGACTTGTCGCTCACCAGCTGCGAGTCGTCCATGGTGTAGAGGTCGCCGGTGCCGGGGTCTGGGGAGGGGGGCGAGCACGGGGGTTGGGGGCACGCAGACCCTCATCTCCGCTCCCGGGGGAGAACGGGAGGGGGGTCTGGCCGAAAAGGCTCCGGCAGCAGAGGGGTTAAAGGGGTTTGGGCCCCCCCAGCCCCGCCCCCTCCTCTGGGAAGCGGAGGAGCCCAAAATGGCCGTGGCTGGCGATGTTCACCAGCGCGGAAGTTCAGGCGCTGAGTAACAGCCTCGTCACGGAGCTGGGAAGGCCGGGAAGGAAGGCAGGGAAAGGCAGGGAAAGGCAGGGAAAGGCAGGGAAAGGCTGGGAGGGACGCGGGCCCGCCCCTGCCCGCCGGGGGAGGCCACGGCCACCACCTCCATCATCGGCATCGCCTCCTCCACTGCCACAGCCACAGCCAAAACCGCAGCCACAGCCACCACCTCCGCACCCAGGGCACCCAGAAGGGCTGGCGCTGCCTCCCGGGCACCGCGGCCAGGAACGGCCGTGCCCCCCACCCCGGTCCTGCCCACCACAGCTCACGACACCACGTCCCCAGTGCCTCCCTACCTCTGGCCAGGGACTCGAAAGGCTCCAGGGGGTCCTCACTGAGCATGTGGGAATCCTCCAGCCGCGGGGCGATGGGTGATGCGTCCCCCAGGCACCCGCTGCCCGCGTCGGGGGCCAGGACGGGCCCCTCCTGGCCGAGCGGCCCTGCGCTGGCAGCAGCCCCGTTGTAGCTGCAGATCTTCAGGTCTGAAGGGAACAACCAACCGAAAACGGAGCCTGAGGCGGTGGGATGTGACAGCGACAGGATATCCCCAGCAAAAGCCATCGCTGTTCCCCACACCAGGACACCCAGCCCTCCCACAGCACCAGCTGGTGATGCCCTGGGCTGCGCCTGGCCTGGTTTAGCAAGATCCCAACACCAGCCCCGAGCTGTGACGGGACAAATCCCACCTGGGGCATGGGGTGGGCAGGTCAGAGGGGCCGGGATTCCCCAGGGAATGCGGAGCCCAACTCCAGCAGGATCCAGCACCACATCCCAGAGCTCTGCCAGCCCTCCTGGGCTCCTACCTGGCTGTGCCTCCTCCAGCTCCCGGCTGCCCACCAGCCCACCCCCGTTCTCTGCAATGGTGCTGGGGATCTCTTTGGCGGCGCCGGGGTCTGCCTGGCCCGGGTCTGGCTCCTCCGGGGGCAGCGGGAAGGGCTGCGTGTCAGAGCCCAGCATGGGCGAGGGCTGGTCCGCCGCGTAGAAGCCGTCGGGCCCGTTCTGCATCAGCTCAAAGCTCTGGTCGTGGAAGGAGTCGTAAAGCTCCTGCGAGTCAAAGTTCAGCCCCATGGGCCCGGCGGTGCCGTTGCCCCAGAACTCCTGCCCGGCCGCCCGCAGGTTGGTGCCGTGGCCCGGGGACGGCGGCCGGGACCCCTCGGCCGCGCCGTTGAGCGGGAACTGCCCGAGGGCAGGAGGGCCCCCGTCCTTGAGGCCGCTGGCGGGCGCGTAGGGTGCGTAGTCCCAGAGGCAGTCGTAGGTGCGGAGGGGCTGGGAGCCGGCGGGCGCCGAGCCGGGCGGGAACGTCCCTGAAGTACCGGGGTGCGATACAGTAGAGAAGCCATTGACATTCATGCCCCCGTTCAGACCTGCGAGGGGGCAGAGGGACAGCGGGGTCAGCCCTGCGGGGCCTTTCGACGTCAGGCCCTGCCAGCGGTGGGCGAGAGGCGAGAGGATGGACAAAAAAACCCGTCCTGGCAGGTGCCAACCCCCCGCCCTGGTGTTGGTGCCCCCCCCCCCCCCCCGCCCGGAGAGAGCCAGGGGGTTGCACCATCCCCGTTCGCCAAACCGGCTCTGCCGTGGGCTCTGCCGGCACCGGGCCGAGCGCCGCAGGACGCCAGGGATTAGCCGAGCGCTTGGCAGGGCTGTGGCGGATCAGCTGACCGGCCAAATCCACGCACAGACCCTGTGCCGGCGCAGCTGCTTTTCTAGGCCAAGGCGACGGCGGGCACGCGCAGACCCCGGCCCTGGCCCCTCGCACGGGAGCTGCTGCGGCCCCTCCATCTCTGCAGCCCCCCTGTCCCTGCAGCCCCTCCATCCCCACAGCCCCTCCATCCCCCCATCCCCATCCCCATGGGGTCACTCACTTTTCCCTTGCGGGGGGAAGCCGAGCGGGGAGTTGTGGGTGAAGGGGTTGTCCCCTGAGGCAGGCGTGGGTTTCGGTCCTGAGGCAGCGGGTGTGGAGGAAAGGCCAGTGAAGTTAAAATGGTTGTTTGTTTCCATCTCTGCACAGGGGACAAGATGCACCAGGGTCACTGGCTGGCAGGGACTGGTGATGCTGGTGCGGTGACCACCCGGCCCTGCCAACCGTGGTGGGGGTTACGGGAGCATCGGGACCCCCCGTTCCCATTCCCTGCCATCTCCTGACCTGGTGCTCAAGGGCTTGGGAGGGTGAGGAGTGACATCAAAGCCCCTCAGGACTGGCCCAGGCCTGCCACCCTGGCTGGCTGAGCTGCCACCTGTGTGAGCACAGTCTGTCACCGTGCTCTGGTGTCCCCACCACCAAGATGTGATCACCCTGTGCCACCTGCCTGCATCAAACTTGGGCACTCAGCTCCCTGGTGCTGCCATCCTGGGGGGGGTCCCAGCCAAGGACCTACAGGGACCCCCCAGAGCAACTCCATGACCCCATAGGGTCCCAGGACAGCACAGAGCTCCTGGCACAGGGATGACTCTGTGGTGTCCCCACCACTGCCATCCCCCCTCAGTTGGAGGAGATCCCACATCCCCTCCTGCAGGCACAGCTCCAGGATCTGAGGCTGGATCCTGACTGGGAGCAAGCAGGAGCTGGAGCCCCGGTGGAGGAATGTGCAGGGGCCTGGTGACCTTCACCACCCCAGAACAGCAAACAGAATACCCTCGAACCAGCGCCCCCAGGGAGGGCTCTGGGTGGGTCCAGCCCCAGGATGGGACCCTGCTGGGCCACTGTCACAGGTGGGAGATCTGGCAGGGACCCACAGGGACACCCCCTGGGGCAGCCACTGCCGGCATCCCCCGGTCGTGCCGTGCTCGCCAAACCCGCCAGTGGCCAAGGCGGTGCCGACTCCGCCGACCTCTCCGGAAGGGCCAAGGCTGCTGCTCGGCACTCAACAGCAGCTCATGGCACGGCCCGTGTCGAAACACGGATTTCATCACACCCTCACCCGCCTCAGCTGCTGCCCTGGCAGGGGCCGGAGGGGCCACCAAGCCTGGCCGGGGCCACCGGTGATTCATCCTCCAGAGAAACCCGTATGGGCGGTGACGCAGCTGCTGCCACACACTCAGCGCTCCCGGACATCCCGGGATGGCCCTGCAGCCTCCCCCCCCTGCCTGAGCTGTGAGTGGGGGGCTGGCCCCGCCCTGACCCCAGTGAGGACCCCCAGCCGGCCGGGAACAGCAGCCACGGTGGGGCTGGATCAGGAAAAGCCTTTCCGGTCCCACCCCGTGTGTGATGTGCCGGCCAGGAACGCGCTGCCGGCTTTGGAGGTCAGAGGAGGAGGCAAAGGGATGTGCCAGAACCAGGCAGGTGGCGGCTGCAGGTCAGCGCTGCAGACTGGGATGGACTGGGATGGACTGGGATGGACTGGGATAGACTGGGATGGAGCAGGCCCTCACTGGTGTGGGGAGGGGGCCGGGAGAAAATTAAACCTGGGAAGTGGGAATGTCACCCTCGCTCCAGGGACAGCCCAGGCCCTGAGGATGCCAGAGCCGCCCTTGGCATGGTGGGAGCTCAGCCAGCGCCAGGTGCAGAGTGGACACAGCCCATCCATGGCCATCCCCGGCCTCCCAGCCGGGCTGGGGCTCCGCTGGCCCCGCTCCCCCCGCACATCACCAAGTGCAGAGCTGCCAAAACTGGGCCACGGCGCGAAACAGGAGCCGGGCGAGGTGGGGAGGGTGGGGGGCAGAGCCTCGGGATGGCAGCACCGCGGGGTGGCGGTGGGTGTACGGCGTGGGGGGGGGGTGATGACCCCAGGGCTGACCCCCCGGCTCCCACCGCATCGGGCACGGCCCATGTGGCAGCGACGCTCGCCCGGGTGTCGAAAGCGGCGGCAGCAGCACCCACAGGCCCCGGGAATCCCGGTGAGGACACGGAGGGGGGGCAGGACTGCCCCGGGAGCCAGGACGGGGGGCACAGAGCTCCGGGCCGGGGGGGCTGTCGGTGCCGTGGAGCTGCTGCCATTCCCTGGGCAGGGAGCTCAGCCCCCCCCCGGCCCTGCGGCCCCCCCGGCCCGGTGGCACCGGGAGGCCCCGGGAGCGTGACGCGACCTGATTAAAAAGGACGTTTCAAAAACAACGACAACGCAACAACCGGCTGCCATTTCCCGGCCACTTCCTGCGGGGACGGACGCGGGGGGACACGGGACCGGCACCCCCCGCACCCGGCGGGGACCCCCCGGTTCCTGCGGCAAGGACATCCCCCGTGGCCCCCCCGCCGGGGCTCGGGGGACAGGGGGGCTCCCGTCCCCACGCGCCGGCGCAGGGGGTCCTGGTGCCGGTGGGTGCGGGAGGGGGGGACACGAGCGGGCGGTGACGGAGGGGAGGGGGCTCCCCCCGGCCTCCGGGACGGGGATGCGGGGGAACCGCACCGGCCACCGGGAACGGGGGCTCGGGCTCCCCGCGGGTCCGGGCCCTTGATCGCCGCACCGGGAGGGGAGCGGGGGGGTCTGCGGGGGCCGGGAACGCCGCGGGGGGGTCACGCCGTGGAACCGGGATGTGCAGGAGGAAGCGGGGGAGAGGACGGCGCCTCACCGAGGTCAGGAAAGGGGAGCGAGGAGGGGTTTCGCCTCTCCCGGTGCCGCCGCCGCGGGGCCGCAACTGCCGCAACCGAATCTCCCCCCTCCCGGCCCGGCCGTTAACGGCCCGTTACCGCCCGGCCCCCGCGACCCCCGCACACACCCCCCGCACACACCCCCCGCACACCCCCCGCACACCCCCCGCACCTGGCAGGCGGCGGAGCGGGCCCGGCTCAGGCGGCGCGGGGCGGGGGGCGGCTCGGCATGGCGCGGCCCCTCCGCCGCACCGGGCCGGACCGGGGCCCCTCCGCTCCGCTCCGTTCCGCTCCGGTACCGGGGCCGGGCCGCGGAGCCGAACCCGCGGCCGCGGCAGGAAGCGCCTCGCGCCGCCGGGCGGTCCCGGGACCGCCCCCGTCCCGTCCCGGCCCCCCCCCCGGCCGCCCCCCCGGCACGTCACGGCGGCCGCAGTGGCGTCACCGGGAGCGGCGCCGCCGTGGCGTCACCGGGGGCGGGAGCGCGCGCCCACGTGGGAGGGGGATCCCCGCCCCCGGCGGGGTCAGGGCGGGGGGAATCCCCACGCGGGGCCGCCCCCCCACCCCCAACCCCCGGCTCCGGCACCCCCCGCTCCCCCCCGGGGCCTCCCCCCTCGGCACCGGCACCCCCGGGACCGCCTTTCCCCCCCGCCCCCCTGATCGTTCCCCGCTCCCCCGATCGTTCTCCGCTCGCCCCCCGCAGCCCCGGGGCGACCCCCCGAGAACGGAGGCGAAGCGGGCCCGGGCCCGCGACCCTGATGGGCCCCGACCCCCCCGGTTCGGCCGCGGGGACACCGGGCCCCCCCCGCCCGCGCTGGCCCCCGGGATCCCCGGTGACGTCACGCGGCACCGGCCGGGCCGCGCTGCGCAGGGACCGGGGGCGACACCGGGCGCGGGGGTGGCGGGGGCAGAAGGGGGTCCCCGTGCGGGGGGGGCTGTCCCGGTGCGGCGCTGGGAAGCGGGGGAGGGATCCCTGCCCGGTGCGGAGCAGGGGGGGGCCCGGTGCGGGGGTTTCCCCCCGCGGTGGCGGCTCCCGGGAGGGTGGGGGGGTCCGGTACTGAGAGAGGGTCCCCGTCCAGCCGGCTCGGTCTCAGGGGGTCCCGGTAGAGATCCGGGGGTCCCCGCAGAGCCACCTCAGCCCCGTGGGGGTCCCGGTGGGTCGCGGTATCCCGGTGCCCGGGGCCCGTTCCGCGCGGTGTGTACCTGTGGGGGGGGCGGCGGGGGCGGCCGCTCCAGCCCCGGTGCCCGCCCGGCCCGGTGCGCTGCGGTGCCGGTGGCGGAGCCGGGCGGGGCGCAGGTGCTCCCGGCCCCGCGTGATGTCAGCGGCCGCCGCCGCCCCCTCCGCCACCGGGGACGCGCCGCCATTTAAAGGGACCGCGGCCCTCCGTGGTGGAGGCAGCGGGGGGGCACCCGAGCCCCCCGCGTGCAGCCCCTGCGGGGACACCCCCGCGACCCCCGATCCTCCACGGGGCTGAGCCCAGCCCGTCACCGGCGGGTCACCGACGGAGCGGGGAGCCGGGGGCGGTCCCGGTGCCCCGGCGTGGGTGTCCCGCAGGCCCGCACCGGGAGGGCCGGGCCGCCGCGGCCCCCCGAGACCCCGCGGACAAAGCGGCAGCTGCCGGGGCCGGGGCGGCTCTTTGTGCTGTGAAATGGAGGAGCTGGAACGGGGCGGGGTGGTGCTGGTGGGGGAAGAAACGATGGGGACAGGGACAGACAGATGGACACCAGGCTAGGGACAGGCATGGGACCACCATCTGTCACCTCCTGGGCCGTCCCCGCCAGGGACAGTTCTGAGGACCCCACAGGAGAAGCAGACCCCCCTCCTGGGTACCCCACAGGGTAAGTGGGGGCTCTTCTTGGGAATCCCAAGGCCGGGGGTCCTGACGCTGCGGCAGCAGCTCAGCCCAGAACCCAACACAGGGTTGGGGGCCTCAGGGAACCCCAGCCTTGCCTTCCTGCACACGGGGGGCTCGCAGGACCCCGACCCCTCCAGCCCTCTCGCAGCAGCAGCCACAGCACACGGAACCCGGGAGTGTTTTCGCCGATGTTTTATTGGAAATGTTAAATACTGGGGGTCCGGCCCCAGCGGAGCCGGGGGGCAGGGGGGGCTCGGGGGGGCTCAGGCATGCTCCTCTGCCAGCTTCTCCGCCTTGGCCACGGCCTCCTCGATGGGGCCCACCATGTAGAAGGCCTGCTCGGGCAGGTGGTCATATTCACCTGGGGGGAGACACCGTGTCAGGGGGCAGCGGGGGGGCCCAACCAGGCTCCCCGAGTCCCCGGGGGGGCCACCTCACCTGCCAGGATCTGCTTGAAGCCCTTGATGGTCTCCTTCAGCGGCACCAACTTGCCCATGTGGCCGGTGAAGACCTCGGCCACCTGGAAGGGCTGGGACAGGAACCGCTGGATCTTGCGGGCACGGGCCACTGTCAGCTTGTCCTCCTCGGACAGCTCGTCCATGCCCAGGATGGCAATGATGTCCTGCAGAGACTTGTAGTCCTGGAGGGACACACGGGGGGTGAGCAGCCAGCACTGACCCCCCACCACCCCCAGCACCCCATGGGGGGCTGCCAGGCCCCCCCTCACCTGCAGGATCTTCTGCACGCCCCGGGCCACGTCGTAGTGCTCGGGGCCCACGATGTTGGGGTCCATGATGCGGGAGGTGGAGTCCAGGGGGTCCACGGCCGGGTAGATGCCCAGCTCGGCGATGGCACGGGACAGCACGGTGGTGGCGTCCAAGTGGGCGAAGGTGGTGGCGGGGGCAGGGTCAGTCAGGTCATCGGCAGGCACGTAGATGGCCTGGGGGGAAGGGAGGGGACGGTGGGCCCCAGGCAAGTGACATGGTGTCCCAGGGACCCCCGTCCGGCCCTGCCCTCACCTGCACCGAGGTGATGGAGCCCTTGCGCGTGGTGGTGATCCGCTCCTGCATGGTGCCCATGTCGGTGGCCAGTGTGGGCTGGTAGCCCACGGCCGAGGGGATTCTGCCCAGCAGGGCCGACACCTGGGCAGGGACAGACCGTGAGGGGCTGTGCTGGTCTGGGGAAGGGGCACCCCCCATGTCCAGCACAGACCTCGGAGCCAGCCTGGGTGAAGCGGAAGATGTTGTCGATGAAGAGCAGCACGTCCTGACCCTCCTGGTCCCTGAAGTACTCGGCCACCGTCAGCCCCGTCAGGGCCACCCTGGCGCGGGCGCCCGGGGGCTCGTTCATCTGCCCGTAGACCAGGGCGACCTGCGGGTGGGACCCCCCAGGTCAGCACAGCGTCCCACCACCACCTCCCCAAGGGATCCAGCACCTCCCAGGGGACCCTGCGCACCTTGGAAGTGGCATCTTTCAGGTTGATGACCCCAGACTCGATCATCTCATGGTACAAGTCGTTGCCCTCACGGGTTCTCTCGCCCACGCCGGCGAACACCGAGTAACCACCGTGGGCCTTGGCCACGTTGTTGATCAGCTCCATGATCAGCACAGTCTTGCCGACACCAGCACCTCCAAACAAACCTGGGAGAGGGAAACAGGGGTCCTGCTCAGCCCTGGAGCTGGCCCAGCTGCCCCACGGGTCTCTCTTCAGCCCTTTCCTCCTCAGATGGCAAAAAGAGTTGCTTCAGCAAGCTCAGGAGAACGAAAGTCAATGAGTGAATCATCAGCGAAGGAAAGTGCCCCAGGGGGACTGTCAGGAGCTTTAAGGGGGCTGGCAGGTGCCCCCTCCCACTCTGGGGGTCACATACCGATCTTGCCGCCCTTGGCGTAGGGAGCCAGCAGATCCACCACCTTGATCCCCGTCACCAGGATCTCCTGCTCGACACTCATCTCCACGAACTCAGGGGCCTCGGCGTGAATAGCAGCAAACCTGGAGCGGGAGGGGAAGAGGCTGAGCAGCTGCTCCGAGCCCCCAGGAGAGCAGGATCTCTCCCTGCTCACACCTGTGTGTCCGTATCACTCACTGTTTGGTTGTGATGGGGCCCCTCTCGTCGATGGGCTCCCCGATGACATTCATGATCCTGCCCAGGGTCTCAGGGCCCACGGGGATGCGAATGGGAGCACCTGAGTCCAGCACCTTCTGCCCCCTGACCAGCCCCTCCGTACCGTCCATGGCGATGGTGCGCACCGTGTTCTCCCCTGGGCAAGGACAGCACAGTCACCGCAGCGCCCTCGGGCTGACCCCGGGCACAGCTGCCGGTGGCTTCCCCGGGCCCTGCCAAGGGCACATTCAGCTGGGAGAAGAACCAGGAAGAGCAGCAGGACACAGGAATAAAATAGCCCAGAGGAAAACGAGAGACCAGGCTGCGCTCCAGCTGCAGCCCTGCAGCCACAGCCCTTGAGGGCAGCCATTTTCCTCCTCCTCAGATTGAAATCCGTGGCTTCAGCAAGCTCAGGAGAACGAAAGTCATTGGAAACATCATCACAGGAGGACCCCCCCCCCCACCCCCTCCCTCCCTCGTGCCAAGTGCTCACCCAGGTGCTGAGCCACCTCCAGCACCAGCCGGGTCTCCCTGCCCTGCACCTCCAGGGCGTTCAGGATGGGGGGCAGCCCCTCGTCGAACTGCACGTCCACCACGGCTCCGATGACGGCCACGATGCGGCCGGTGGTGGAGCCGGCCTTGGCAGCGGGGGCCGCCTGGGCCGCATAGTCCCGGCCTGGGGGGGAGAGGGACGGGTCAAGGTCGGAGAAGGGCAGGGCCGGGGGCTCTGGGGGCGCGGGGAAGTGACACCCTCGCAGGCCCGGGGGTGTGCCCGGGACCCCCAGACCCCCTCCATAAAACCAGGACCCCCTGAACGCCCCTCGCTGCACCCAGGATCTCTTTCCTCCTCGGTGCAACCGAGACCCCCCGAAACCCGTCCTCTGACGCACCCGGGACCCCCCGACCCCTCCTCAGTGCACACTGGACCCCTGCGCCCTCCTGAGTGCGCCCAGGAGCCCCTCCCTCGATGCACCCACGACCCCCTGAACTCCCACAGCCGTTCCCCCATGACCTCACGACACACCCCATCCCGTCTCCGCCAACGGAGACCACGAGCCCCCGAGCCCCCCACACACCCCCGGCCCGCTCAGGCCCCAAGGTGACCCCGCCTCGCCCCGCACTCACGCGCCCCGAGGGCGGCGGAGGCCGGAGCGGCCCCGCGGCCGAGGAGCAGCGGGAGGAGGTCGCGGCCCGGGGCGGCCCCGCGGGGCAGCAGCGGCCGGGCCGCGGCGGCGGCGGCGGCGGCGGCGGAACGACCCGCGAGCCCCAACATGGCGGCGCCGACTGAGGCGCGGGTCCCGCCCGCCCCTCACGGCCCCCGCGGGGCGGGGCCTCGCCGCGCCCCCGCCGAGCCCATTGGCCGCCGCGTCGGCAGAGCCCGCGCCCCCATTGGCCACGCCGAGGCGGCGCCCGCTCTGCGCCTCGCTGCGATTGGGTTTTGAAGCCGTCCGTCAAGGCGCGCTGCGGGTTGATTGGGAGAGGTTGAAAGGAAAGGGCGGGGCTCGGGCGAAGGTCGCCGGAAGCGGCGGCGCACGTGGCTCTGCTTGTCCTTGGGCGGGCGCCGTGACCGGGACAGGGCCGGGGGCACCGGAATGGGGGGGGGATCACTGCACCGCCCCCAGGAGCCGCCCCAGGTTGTCTCCCGCAGAGGAAAAGCCCACCCCACAGGCCCCACATGGGAAGGGAACCCGCCCCCCAGAGGATCAGAGCCCACAGCACCAGCCCCCAAATCCCCCTCCCCATGGGGGTGGATCCCACAGCACCAACCCCCACCTGCCCTCCCACCAAGAGTGGGGACTCCTGGGGGAGAGGAACCCACTCCAGGAGGGAATCCTGCCCCACATCCCTCCCCCGGGAGAGGAGCCCAGCCCCTGCCCCCCTAGGAGGGGGTCCCAGCCCCTGCCCCTGCCGCAGTGAGGAATGCACAAGGCCCAGGCCGAAGGGAGAGCCAGGGGAGTCTTCAACAGTTTATTAGAAAGAATGCAGACATTAAAAAAATCCCAGCTGCTCTGAACATAAATTGAGGTTTCTCAGCCCGGTCGCAGGCCCCACGGTCTGTCACTCGCTGCCAAACCCACAGTGCAAATACGATTTGGTCTAAATGTACAGATTGACAAAGCAAACAATGTACAGCCACTCACCCCGGGCGAGGAGGGGGGAGCTCTGGGGGGGTCACATGGAACCAGGGACAGGCTCCGGCCACCGGCGCCGCTCGGGGGGGGTGGGGGCCCAACACCAAACTAGGAGGAGTTTTAGGTTTTCCTTTTCAATACGAACTTTAGTGGAACAGACCTGAAGACGCCACAGGGGGATGTTGCCTCGCCTGCTGGATTTGGGGAGCCAATGACAACAAGTTTTGTTCCCAGTACAAACGGACAATTTCAGGCCATGGAGGAGGAGGAAGGGGGGGAAAAAATGCTCGTTAACCATTTGGCGTAAATTGAGGGGTTCTCCCATTGCAATTACATCTGCTACGAGGCAAGGAGGCTCTGTAAACTTTATTGCAACTGTTCTGTACGGATTGCCTACACCTCAATTGGGGGGGTTGTTTTGTTTTTTGTGGGTTTTTTTTTTGGAAGTCTGGAAAACGGTTCATGCATAACGTTATTGCCTCTCGTGGCTTAAGACCGCCCCGTGCCATGGGACACACCTACCATCAGTGAAGCCATTTAAAATGGACTGAAAATGGGTTAAAAGGATGCAGGATCTCCCTTTAGGGCTATCAACTCAGGAATTCTTATCTCAATTATGAAATGTTGTGATGAAGTTCTTTCCCCAAAACCCTGAAGACGACAGTTTTCCTTACTCCAGATCCGGCATTTCTACACAGAGAGAGAGAGAAGAGAATTGTTTTAGGGTTAGTTTGTGGGGTGATTTTTTTTTTTTGGTTGTTTGTTTTTTCTAAGAGCTACCAGAGCCCCACTATGTCACAAGGGACACGAGCAAGACGACCTGGCCCTCAACCAAGGAGGGCACGGAGCAGTTTGGGGCCTCTGCCCTCCCCTCCTGGCTCTCCCCACGGGAGATCCGTGCCAGAGCCGGCCACCCCGAGCACATTCTGCTCCTGCAGCCGAAGCTGCCCTGGGACTGCAGCTGCCTGGGAAGGTCAAAGTGGTATTTGGGGCTTGTGTGGAGAGGCTTTCTCAGATTAGGCTGTCTCCCAGCACTGGCTTTATCTCCTGCCAGGACTCAGTGGGACGGACGGGGGAACATCTGCCGGCCCTGCCCGGGGCCGGGGCATTCAGCAGCTGTGTGAGGGGAAAACAACAACTTACTTTCATCATCACTGTCTGGTGAGTCCTGCAAAGGAAAAGAAACAGCGTTAAGTGGAGCAGACGGCCCTGAAGGCACCTTTCCTCCAACACCACCCCCCAGCAACGAGGTGCTGCTCCCAAATCCAGCAGCAAGCTGGATCCCCTTTGGGCAGAGCGGGGATTCTGAGGAACTCCAGGTCCCACAGGGCTCAGTGAGCTCAGTCTGGTCTCTCTGCAGAGCCCACAACAACCCCCAGTCACTACAGAGAGAGACACAGACTCTAAACTGCATGGTGCCCCCACTGCCCTCAGCACTGCTGAGAGGGAGGGAAGAGAGTCCCCAGCTGGCATCACCTGCCCAAACAAGGTTTGGGGCTATTTCAGCTTTCTGCAGTGCTGAAGAGGGAGCACAAGACTTCTTAACCAGCCCTGCCTGTGTTTACTCCAACCACATACTCACATCATCTGCCCCATCTACTTCTGGCAAATCTACGTCGTCGTCTCCACCCATGTTGTTCATCATCTGCTCGGGGAGAGAACAGCCACGAGTCAGGGTGAATCCAACCCCCTTTTCCTCCCCAAACCAGCCTGGAACGGTTCTAAACCAACAGCCCCTCGTTGCTTTGACAGAACAGTTCCCCCCACGCAGGAATCACAAGGTGAGGATGCAAGAAAAACTGGGACTAATTGCCCTGCAAACCCCGAACTCCAGGAACTCATCAGCCCCTACCTCGGAAAAGCGATCGAAATTGGACATGTCTTCATCTGAATCATCTTCCCAGTCTTTCCAGTTGTTGAAGTCCACGCTGAGCCAGTTGAGCTGCACCAACACAAGGAGTTATTTAAGGACAAGGAATCTTCTAAGGACAAGGAAGGACCCGGCTGTCAGTCAGAACAGGCAGGTTAACGAGAGCTGCCACCGGATCGGGAGCAGGAAAAGTGACCCAAAACTGCTCCATAATTCCAGCATGACCCAAATATGCACTAAATGAAAAGCCAGGGGGGGCAGCAGGTGCCCAAACCCACCTTTGCCCTCTCTTTTGTTAACCTTGGCCATGCCTGACCAGACTCTCCTTTTCGTAAACAACATAAGATGGATCTGTCTGTTCTTTTATGCTTCGATTCCTGAAAAAGAGCAAATACCCATTAGTGCCATCAGGATGAGCTTCACCACCAACTGCTGACATCCCTCATTTGTTTTAACCTCTCCACCAATTCTTTATCCTGAAAAAACACTTCAGGATAAAATACTCTCTCCTGAAAAAACACTTCCATGGATCTGAGCTCAAGCATATTCTTACAGGCCAAAGAAATATTTGCCCCCAAATCCCAGGAGCAGCCTGAAGAACAGATGGTATTCTTTTTAGGATCACAGAACGCCAGAATGGTTTGGGTTAAAGATCATCCCACTCCACCTCCTGCCATGGGCAGGGACACCTTCACTAGACCAGGTTGGTACAAGTCCCATCCAACCTGGCCTTGGGCACTTCCAGGGATGGAACATCCACAGTTTCTCTGGACAACCTGTTCCAGTGACTCACCAGGTCCCAGCACTAAGAACACCCACCAAGAGGAGACTGGGCATACTCACATTTGGATCGATATTATTAAAAAGGTCGATTTCATTTAAATGTTTAAAATTATCACTTCCTCCAAGACAACTGCAAAGAGAAAAAGTAAGTTGGTGTTTAGCCCAGAACGCGTCGTAGAACAAATCTGCTTCTTCTCAGCCCTCGGGGACCTCCCCGTGCCCCAGTTACTCACCTGAACGTGAGTTTGGACTTTTCAAAATTTACATTAACATCTTTGCTGTCTTCAACACAGAACTCAATAAAAACGTAGTCCCTCCGGTCGTACCACTTTGCAGAGGCAGGCTGCCTGTGGGCACAGCAGGTTTGGGCATTTCATCAATAAGTTCAACTTAAAAACCTCCCTCCCGTGCTTAAAACCTGCATTTCAAGCTTATTATTCATCTTTTATAGCTGCTTAAGAATGAAAAAAGATGTAAAAGAAATTATGCATTCAGTGCCCAACACCCCCAAAGAGCTCCTGGGAGGAGCCACTGGAATCTGAGAGACTGAAATAAATGTTTCAGCAGATCAAAGTTGTGATAAACGTTAAGATGAGCTACGACAGACGAGCCAGAAGCTCCACCACCTCCCACAGCTGCCTGGGCAGATTTCAGGGTGGTTTTGGTCACTCTAAGAGTTAAAACCAACCCAAAGCAAAATCACTGAGAAAAATCTTCTTTTTTTGGGCACTGACACTATTAAAAAATAGACTTACTATGATGAAGACCCAGCTGGTGTCAGCACAGGTACGAGAGCTGGAGAATCCTCGCCCCAACCTCTTCCTATAACCTCCTGCATACTCAGACTGGAACTCCCATGCACTTTGGAATTCTCCTCCCTTTCCAAAACCACCACAAAAAGTAACAGCATGTCCAGGGCAACTCCAGTGTTTGCAGTTCCGCACTGAGGACTCACCTGCAACGCTCTGGCCTCGCTCCATGGACTGGGGAGAGACCCAGCAGGGCCTGGACACCCTCCTCCCCCCTCCAGTTACTCCCTGGCAACTGTGGCCAAGCCCAGGGAACGCCTGCATTCCAGGGGAACCAAACAGGCTCCCAGCAGGGCTGTTACCAAGGCACAGAGGCCACACACTGCTCTGTCTTCCTGAGATCACAGAGTCACGGAACGGGCTGGGAGGGATCTTTTCACCCCCTGCCCTGGGCAGGGACACCTTCCAGGGACGGGGCAGCTTCTCTGGGAATTCCATTCCAGGGCCTCACGGGGAGGGATTTTTCCCAGCTGATGCCCCTGCAAAGACCTGCAGTGGGATGAGGTGGAATGCTCTGAGCTGGACAGGGAGATAACCAGGGGGACATGAGGGTGACACAGCCTGGGACTGCAGCTGCCACCCCACTGAGGAGGCCCTTTGGGCTCAGCGCTGCTCTGTAAGCACCGTTATTAACTCTTCAGACCGTTTATACAGGTGACCTTCGCTAAACTTTCAGGTCAGATTTTGACTCACCTGATCATCGATCGATCGATTCTTGGCATCGAGCTGTGACACATTTAGGGAGGTGACTCACCCAGGGCTGCACCTTCCCCAAACCTTCCTACCTGCTCCCATCCACTGTCCTCAGGATGAACCACAGCAGGGCCCAGCCCAGCCCCAGTTGAACCCCAAACCAGCCAGCTCTGATCAGCTCCCCACAGGAACCACCACGATGCCTCTGGCAGCCCCAACACTCCTGTAGGTGCAAGAACACCCGGGCAGAGGCCAATATCCGAGGATTTAACTTCCACAAACACAAAAACTAGTGGATTCTGAACTCAGCCTCGAGTTTCTGCAACATGCTGTTCCAGGAGAGAAAACCTGACGCTTCCCCTTGCAGTTGCATTTTAGGGAATGTTAATTATCACCTTACTCAAGTGAAGTGCAGCAGCACAGCAGGAGTTTTCTTACTGTGGTATTTTTAATTCCTTCTCAGGCACAAGTATCCTCTTCTTACAGGGAATGAAAAGACTCTCAGAGGAAAAGAGGAGGAGAAAGGCCCCACTCTGTGCCCTCTGCGTCGGGAGACAAAACCCCCCAGCGTGGGACAGCGGGGACGTCACTCCAGCCCCGTTATCCAACAGGAATCTCAGTGTCCCTGCCCGGATGACGCAGGGGCTGAGCAGTGTTAACACTTCCCAGTTCTCAATGTCAATGGAGACATCTCCAGCCTTCCCAGGGAGCCGCTCACATCCCGGCTTTCGGCCGTGACCTCGGGATCTCTGCCCGGAGCGGGGGTTTGAGGCACGGAACTCACAGCACGTCCAAAAACCTCACTCAGCTCAAGGAAAACACACACACACACACACACACCCCCCCGAGCTGGAGAGGAATGAGAGCCCAAATACATTTGACTCGACCACGATTCAGGTTTCTGGGCCCTAAACCTGCGCTGCCTCCCCGGGAATTCAGCACTCGCCACCGGAACTGCGCCTCTCCTTCTTTTATCTGCCTTTCCAATCTCGCCCTCCCAAAGGGAGGAGGGAAAATCTCCCCCAGGACTCGCCGTTCCAACCAGCAGCACAGGACGCGCCCGAGCTGCCGCCCAGGGCTGGGACGAGGAGGAAGCCGCGGCTCGTTGGAGTCTCCTGCCCACACGGAGATTCCCAGGAGACAAACCACACACGGCAGCCCTGCACGTGCTCCCAGCGCTCCAGAGCTGTTCCCACACCCCCACGGAACCATCTCCTCCTCTCACAGACGCTGGAGCGCCACCAGCAGAGCCACCTGTTGCACACACAGAGCTCTGTCCCTGCCTCCTGCCCAGGGGGCTCTGGTTACCCCTCAGCCGCGGGACTGAGTTCTTTGGGAAGGAGGAGGCGACTTCCACGTGCTCCCTCCTGCGTGGTTCCCAGGGAGCAGGGTGCTGAGTTCCATTCCAGAGGGTTTCCTCTGTCCCATCCACCCGGGTTTTCCGCATTCCGATGGCAATTGTGATTCCAGCACCGTGGAACAGGTTCTAGAAGCTTCCCAGCAACACTGATAGGTAAGGTGGAGACTCAGCTTCACCCCAGAGCCCTCCAGGCCCTGCCGGATCCACGGTGGCTCCGTGGGGGCTGTGCTTCTAGCCTGGATATCCCTGGATATTCCTGCCTCTGCCACAGCAGCAGCTTCTCAACTCACGAGTGGAATCTCAGATCTCACTGGCTGCAGCAATTCAGGAAGTTCCCAAACCTGTCCTCGTGCTCCTTGTATCCTGTGCCTACAGAATCCTGCCTTTGTTTCCTGGGAGCATCCTGGCAGCTCCCACAGCCCGAGGACGCTGCAGGAGTCAAGATTCCCAACAGGATTTACCCCCCAGACAGCAACAGAACCTGTTTTACTAAACTAGCTTTCTTTCCGCTTGTAAACCCCGGAAAGGTGCTTTTTTAACTAAAAAAAAAAAAGCCTCATTTTAGATTTTAGACGACTCCAAGCAGAGGCAGCAGCGCTGCAGTTTCAGGATGATGAACTTTACAGAAATTAAACAAAAAAGTCCAACTTTATCACGTCCCTCTCGCTTTCAGTCACGTTAGGATGAAGCAGCTCCATCGTCTGGGGTTTCAGAACACGAGTGAACGCCTGACTGGGGACAAGGGACGAAAAGCCACCAGTCCCTGAGGGGTAGCTCTGTCCTCAGACCACCTCCATTCATTGCAGCCAGACACACGGAGGTCACAGAGCCACGGAACGGCCTGGGCTGGAAGGGACCATAAAGCTCATCCCATTCCACCAGCCCAGGTTTCTCCAAGCCCTGTCCAGCCTGGGCTCGGGCCCTTCCAGGGACAGGGCAGCCTCTGGGAAATCCATCCCAGCGCTTCACCACCCTCACCACACAGGGAGGAATTTCCTCCCGGTATCCCACCTACCCCTGCCCTCTGGCAGCCTGAAGCCCTTCCCCCTCGTCCTGCCGGGAATGGCATCTCCGGGGGCAGCACACACAGCCCTCCCCTCCGCGGCCACATTTCCCTCTTAAGTGTCTCCCCGCACATCAGAAACTCCCGGCTCGTCCTCCCCGCGCGTTCTGAGCGAACGCTGACCCCGAGCCGGAGCTGTGAGGCTCGGGAGTGCCCCGGGGCAGGCGGTTCATTGGGGCTCCCCGGGAGCGCGGGGATGCACGTGGAGCGGATCCAGCGGCTCCCCCGGGCCGGGCCGGGCAGCACCGGGGCTGTCCCCCCCCCCGCCACGGGCAGGGACACCTTCCAGCCGCTCCGAACGCCGTCCAGCCCGGCCTCGGACGTCCCGGGGACGGGACAAGACCCGGCGATGGGTTTTAAGTGGAGAAGTGGAAGTTTGTAAACAAGATCCGCCCGCCTGAGCGCTCCGGGCGGCTCCACGCGCTACTTACCGGGAGTTCTCCACGGTCTCAGGCGGTGCCACCGACCCCACTGGGCAACGCGCACCGACCCCCGGCACCCCCCGCCGCCCCATTCATTCCGCGCAGCCCCGAGCGGGGCCGGGACACCCCGCCCGCACCGCGGCACTCCGGGGCCGAGCCGGTAACCGACCGCGGGCGCTCCGCCCTCGCCCGGTAACCGGGGCCGGGCCCGCCACAGTTAAACCAGGGCGAAACCAACCGGGGTCAAAACCGACCCGCCGGGGCCGCCCCAAGGTCAGCGCGCGGCGCGGAGCCCGGCGCTCGGCGGCGGCTCCCGGGGCCGCGCCCGCGGTTCGGCGGGGCCTGGCGGGGCCTTCCCGCGCCGCTCCCTCCCCCCCACCCCCGGGCCTCACATGGCGGCAGGCGGCGGCTGCGGCGGGCACTCCTGCGGGCGGTGCTGCGGGCGGCGCTGCGGGCGGTGCCGGCGGCGGCTCCGGGGGTCTCGGAGGGTCTCGGGGGGGCTCGGGGGGCTCCGGCGGCGGCTCCGGGCGGGCTCGGGGCTCGGCGCGGCCTCGCTCCCACAATGCCCCGCGCGCGCTCGGCCCGTGGTGACGCAGCAAAATCCCCGCGCGCGCCGCCGCCGCCGCCTCCTCGCGCCGCCGCGCCCGCTCCGCGCATGCGCCGACCGCTTCCCACCACCCCCCCTCCCTTCTCCCGCCCCTCCGCGCCTTCCAGCAGGTTCTGGCCGCGCGTGCGCGCTGCGGCACGACCGGGGGGACCGGGGAGGTGGGGCCGGGACCCCCCAATGTCGCGTCCTGTCCCCCGTCCGGAGCCCCCTCCGCTCCTCCCGCCGCTCAGGGGGCTGTCAGAGGGACAGTGAGAGCCCCCCGAGCCTCCTCCTCTGCAGGCTGAGGCCCCCCGGCTCCCTCAGCTCTCCAGCCCCTTCCCAGCTCTGGACCCGCTCCAGCCCCTCAGCGTCTCCTGTCGAGGGCCCAGAACTGGGCACAGCCCTCGAGGGGCCTCAGCAGGGCCAGCACAGGGGGACAGTCCCTGCCCCGAGCCTGTGCCCACACCACGGCTGGCACAGCCCAGGGGCCATTGGCCTCCTTGTCCACCTGGGCCCACCTGGGCACACCTGGGCTCAGGTCCAGCCGCTGTCACCAGCACCCCCAGGGCCTCTCCCAGCTTTCCAGCTGCTTCCCCCAGACTGGAGCACTCCACGGGGTCGGTGTGACCCAAGGGCAGCACTGGGCACTTGGTATTGTTAACTCTTCCCCCGTTGGCCTTGGCCCTCGGATGGAGCCTGTCCCAACCCCTCTGCAGAGCCTTCCTGCCCCCCAGCACACCCCCAGCACACCCCCATCCCACCCACGGTGTCCTTCCTGCACTGACTGAGGTGCCACCGATCCCCCTGTCGAGGTCAAGGACGAAGGTGACCCTGACCTGGCCCCATGGATTGTCCCCAAGGAGTATCCCAGCCCTGGGCTGCCGCTGCTCCAGGGAGATGCTGTGGGAGGCAGTACCAAAGGCAGACACATCCACAGCCTTTCCCTCCTCCACGAGGCCCCAGTCCACCCATCACACACTGCAGGGGAACCAGGAGAAGCCCCCTGAAGGGAACCCCAGGGGATGAAGGAGGGGAGACCCCGCAGTGACTGAGCCTGGCCTGGCGCCGCCCCGGGCTCGTGTCCAGCCGTCCTTTGGGGCAGGAAGGAAATGAGGGGACGGGCAGGTGGTGTCAGGACGGGGTACTGGGACCAGGATCTTCCCGGGAGGAAGCCTCCACCCTGCGGCTGGGGCTCCCAGGGAAGGGAGGGCGGCAAACCACCACCACGGAGCAGCGAGTGTTTCACCAACAATAAGCCACAACTTTTATTAACCGATAGAAATAGTACAAATTTTAAATTTAGCTGTATTTTAGTCTTCTCTGAAACACCAAAAAAGGCTCCTCCCTCCGGCGGCTACATCGTCAGCTCCTGCAGGGAGAAGGGGGGTCAGGAGCCAGCCAGGAGTGCCCTCCAGCCCCCCGGGACACCCCGAAACACTCACCATTATCGCGTTTACGATGTCGTTGCTGTTGTTCTTGAGGGCTCGCACGGCCTTGGCCCGCGACACGTTCGCCTGCGACATCACCAGCTCGATGTCTTTCACCTCCACGCCCGTCTCATCAACCTGCAGGAGACACAGAGCCCGGGATGGGCGCCAGCTCCGGGCCTGGCACAGGCTGGGACTGCCTGGATTGGGGCGGCTGCTGCTCCACCCACAGGGATGGGAGCTGGGAGGCCAGACCTGCACTGCACAGACCCCCAGGAAGGACCCTGCTCTCCCTGTGCCACCACGGAAAAGGCATGGATGGAGGAAAGGAATCCCAGGGTTATCCCAAAGCAGCTCCACTCAGCCCCGCAGACAGGCTGGGGAAGGCGTTACCTCCTCTTCCTCGCTCTCCTCCTGCACGGTGGGGGTCTGTGTGTTTTCCTGGATGTTTGAAACGGGTTCTCCTTGCACTTTGAACTTTTCGGCAGCTGCCAGCTGGGCCTGCTGGGACAGGTCTTCGATCTGCAGGAGGGAAGGAGCGGAGCTGAGGCCGGTCCTGTGTGGTGCCAGCACATCCCACGGCTCTGCCACACGGCCCAGCCGGGAAACCAGCCCTTGGTACACGCCTCAGGGACCCACAGCAGGAGCCACACAGGGTACACAGGTGACAACAAAGAACCTGCTGGCCCCCAGGTGCTACCAGGGTGGGCTCACCTTGGCCTCGCCAAAGACAATGTAGGTGTCTGACGCCGGGCTCTTGTACACGTCTGGTTTTGTGATGACAAACAGGATGTTCTTGGATTTCCGGATGGTGACCCTGGTGACCCCCGTCACCTGGCGAAGGCCCAGTTTGGACATTGCCTGGAAAACACGAGGGGAAGGTCAGTGAGGGAAGGAAGAGCTCCAGATGCCCGGATGTGCCCACTCCTCTGTCCAGAGCCCGGGTCCACATGGAAATGTGCCCTTGGTGAGCAGCATTCCCGGGTATCAGCCGAGGGAACGCTCCAATCCCAGGACTGCTGAGATGCCCAGCATAACCTCGAGCCCTGGAGCTGTCCAGCAGGGACAGGTGACACCCACACCCCTCAACCTCACCTTCCGAGCTTTCTTCTCGCTCCGGCTCTGTTTTGCTTTGCTGACGGGTTCCTCATCTATTTCGGCTGCTGCCGCGAGCTGCGTGGGGAGACAGCGACAGGGAGCCGTGACAACCCTGAGGTGACACAGGAAACCACCCACAGGGATGCTGATCCGCCACGGATGGCACATGCCACCCGCCCTACCTGTGCCTGCTGTGTCGTGGCCTGTGTGGAGTCTTGCTCTTCGAGCTCTGGTACGGATTCATCGCTGTCGGACTCTGTTCCAGATCCTGCAGGAACACACACACACCTCACTCTTCCCACCTCAGGCAGGTCCAAGGGACGCAGCTCATTTGGGGCAGCCTTTGCTGCCGCTTCCCAGTGCAGTCACCAGTCAGCCCAGTTAAGTGGTGTGCCCCAAATGCCACCAGGAGCCATCCCTGCACCCCAAACGCCATCAGCAGGGTGGCACAAGAGCCTGTCTCCAGCCTCTCACCATGGTGGGAGCCCCACGGATGCCTGGAGGCTCTGGAATGCCGAGCCCCCTGAGGAATTTCCAGCCTGAGGCACCAGGAGGAGTGTGGGAGGCACTCCTGGGGTGGCAACAGCCCAGTGTGACAGGTGCCCTTGACACAGAGCACCGAGCCCCCACTCACTGAGCCCTCAGGGCTGCTACATGTCCATGGCCTCCCTACAGGGATCATTTGGGATTACCCTGATGCCCCCTCTGGCCGCCCAGAGGGCCACCAGCTGCAGCGCCACCACCACCACTTGTGACCCGCGGCACAGCCGTGTCCAACCACGCGAGTGACCGAAGCAGAGCCGGGTGTCCCCGGCCTGGCAGGTGGCCGGGATGCTCCCATGCAGCCATTACCTGGATCCAGTCCCATTTCCTGCTCTGGGAAGGGCCTCTGTGCCCACGGCACACCCCTGGCACAGCCCTCCGCAGGTGCCAGGGTGTGCCCGGGATCCCAACCCCTCAGGCAGAGCGCGGGGACAGCACCGGTGCTGCCGGACGGACAGGGGGACACCGCGTGGACAGCGGTGGGGACGGCCCCGTGGCAGCTCTGCCCGAGCCTCCGTGTGCAGCAGCTCCATCGCGGTGCCCATGCCACAGTGCCACAATGCCACGATGCCACACCGTGCTCGTCACGCGTTAGTGCCCCCGGGGCCCTGCTCGGGGTTAGTGTCCCGTGGGCAGCCAGTGACACTCCATGCACACGGCAAACCGCGGCCGCAAATACCCTTGTCATTCTTGAGGGGCGCCGGGGGGGCCGGGACCCCCGCGGGGGGGGACAGGTCCAGCAGCACGGGCGGCTCGGGAGGGAGCAGAGGCGGCAGGTCCTCGTCGTCAGCGCCGAGCGGGGCCTTCGAGGGGGGCTTGGCTGG